TTGACAGTCAGTGTGCGTCTGTGTGTGCGTGTGCGAGAGAGAGAGAGTTCGCGTTGCATTCCGAGATGCAAATGACAGTTGTACACACTTTGACAGACAGCGCAGCACAGATTTTCTCAGGCATGCCAAATGGAATCGGTTAGTTCATTTCGTTGCCCGATTACGCCCGAATCACATCACTGATATTATCACAATCTGTATTTTAGTCCTCATCGTGTCTCTTCCCGTTGTGCCCCTTTCAGACTGTGGAAAATATCCATCCGGTCGAATCGATGGATCACAGTGATCATGATCTGGGTACCCGCGTGCCGTCTTGTCCCTCGATTTCCTCGTTAGACGCAGCCTCAGCTTCACCTCCTCTGGATGTTTGCAATGCACCCGATCTTGGCCAACAGTCCAGTCCAGAGTCAAACCAGGGGCGGGATTGTCTTTCACCACTTTGGTGGATCAATCTTACCCAACCGAATCGCGCTCAGGAACAATCACACCGTATTCCACCCGGCCGAACGGTGGAGAAAAACGGTCCGCTAAATATGCACATGCTTCGACTCGGTCCCGGACAAGATCTACGTGCCTGTCTCTCGCATTATGTAACCAGTCAACACTTGAACGGAGCATTTGTGGTCACGTGTTGCGGGAGTGTACGAAATGCACGCCTACGATTGGCCAATTTGGAGGTGAGTCAATTGTTCTACCGGGGGCCAGAAATGGCTCATTCGATTTACTCCGGTAAATTCGGTTACAAACTTCATGTGCGAGGATTACTTGTGATTACTTGAACTTGGGCTACATTCATCTGCGTCTATTTGGCTAATATTGCTTATTATTCTATCTAGCAAATTGAACCGGGACCAATTTTCCATCTGTGTCTTCACGGTGGTCCGGTCCTCTTCAATCATGAAATTAGGGGAAGACATATGGAAACTGGGTCCGATTTGTAAGATGAACAGCTGTCATTCAATCGACCAGTCAATCAGTCAATTCATCCAACCAGTCCTCATCCATGGCGACCACAAATTTCGACCATGGGCACCTACCACAGTGAGGTAGCATGGCAGTTTTATTGTGTGGATAAAAAAGAGAGCTATTTTCCCCCTAAATCGCTAACGATTTGTTTAGTTTCTTCATAGTGCCTAAATTATTAACCGGTTTTATTCAACCATTATTTAACATGCCCAAAGAGTGCATTTCGGTAATCATTCAAATGACTACTTATTTGTTTCAGTAGTGTGTGAACAAACTTAACTGTCCAAACTAAAAAATATAATCTTATGGAATGGAAAAATCGTGCATCGTATTCATATATTGATATCTGTGAATCGTACATTTGTGGGCCATATCATATACCGCGATTAGCGTAAATATGAGTGTTTCGGATGGAGTTACTTTCCACTTCCCAAAAAATCACAGTAAAACAAGCCTAATTGAAAATTAAAAACATAACTCATGAGATCAAATGTCATTGGGACATTTTCCTATTGCGAACAACACTGATCCTAATCAATCGATTTTTCGATCGATCGACCACCGAATCGATCCGTCACAACGGAAATTTATTTGCATGAGTATTTTTACTGCCATTTCTCAGACGATACAATATGTTTAGCTATTTGCAAATGATGCACGCAGCGCACAGCCTTGGTATCTTGAACGCAGTATTTATTTGTCCATGCCCGTCCCTCCCTCCCCCCTTGTGGTACTACTTAAGCGGACACTATCACGACTGCTGACCCCAATCTGCGCAGACTTGAGTAATTTGTCGTGACCACTCTAGATTGGCAAGTAGCCTAGTCTTTTTTCCCACACCTATCTAGACAGACGTGTTATTTTTCTCGGGATGTCCCTGTTTATTAATTTATTCGGCTACCGATTTACCGATTTACGAAAACCCACATCTAGGGCGGGCTCGATAGTGAATGTTAGAACACACATGCACCACCCATTAATACCGTCTTGGTGTTTTCATGTCCGTTGACTTCTCGCTTTGATCAATGTGTCTCCAATGTGGATCGTTTATCATAGGGGTTGCTTATTGCACCTATCGACCAGAAACCGCCACACTGTCAATATGCCATCGGAACACTCGTCATGTGTGTGTGTGCGTGTGTGTAAGGAGAGTCCACTGTATATTCTTATACTCGTCAAAGGTATACAATACGAAACAGAACCGTTCACTCACTCCCTACCCCCCGCGCGCCTTTCCTCCCTCCTGCCAATCCTCCAAACCCCATTTGCCACACACACACCTGCTGGGATTAGAGGCAATCAATGTGTCTTCGGGGCAAGATAGTGTGAAAAGATCGAATCTGATGAATCAAATTGTCACCCAACCTGCCGTCATCACCATCAACGTAGATGTGTGTTGTGTGCGTGTGTGTCTGTGTATTAAATCATATCATGTGATGAGAATCCTGGCTGTCACTTTCACTGTTTCGGACTTGTATTGGACTTGTAAAACCCAACCGTTACACAAACTATGAGTATCAATGTTGTTTATCAGATTAAATTCTTATGCTGGAATTGTGAAAAGTTCAGTGTTCTCGGCGAGAACCGAACCCCGTCTGCACGAATGTGACAAGATCAGCTGGTAGAGCATGCGCTCCACAAAAGCTTAGGTGGCACCCCCCCCCCCCTAACTGAGTTCGAATNGGGCTTTTCACAGATGAAGCACGAATATAAGAATATTTATCACAGAATTTATGTATGGACCGACGAAAAAAGAGCACTGGACAACTCTTTCATCTTCGATTGAACTGCTCAGTTCACAGTTCACAGATCTTAGGATCTGTATATTCGCATTGAGTTGAACGAGACTTTTCTTGTTCGTACAAATAACCCTGATCGTTGTCCGTGTAGCTCAGGCATAAGGATCCGGAGAATTCCAACTCAAACTTTCACCTTTGAAGTTTCGCCAGGGACAAAACTGATTAATCCCAACAAGGAAAAATTACCTGTCCAATACAGTCTTTCACTGTCACACAAACTCTTAGAACAATAAAATCGATCGAGGTATGAACGAACCTACTGGATCAGATGAATTTGAATGATACTGAACCAGTGCATATTGAAGTCATAGGAACAGTACTGAGGCCAAAGTGATTCAGTCACCCCCTCCACACACACACACACACGCTCCCCAACTTCTGCTCCAATTCGAACGCATCCCAGCTGTTCTTCTCAGCTTCGTCTGAATAGAGTCTAGGAACAGGTGTGTGTGTGTGTGTGTGTGTGTGTGTGTGCACTTGGAGAACAGTCGAACAATACAGATATTCCATGTGCAATCCAAGAAGAAAGATCCTACTCCTAAGTACCTCCATGTTACTCACAATAAATGTGTGAATACTGGACTCCGTCAACGAATAGACTTTGTTTACCACGAGCGCTTTGTCACAGTTGTGTTTACCTTAATTGGAATTAGTAAAAAGCTGATCATGTACACATGCTCACACGCTTCCTATGCAATTCTCTACCGGATCAGTATACCAAAATGGTTCACGACTGTCCTGTCCTTACTTTCCACACAACATAGGTGTGTGTACTTTGACGTCAAATGTAACATTCTCGAACAAACAATATGACGACCTATGCAACTCGATTATTAGTCGTTTTTCTTTTTGTTTGACAAAAATATGGGGTGGTGGGTGGGTGGGAAGGGGGGGCTGGGGGCTGGGGAGGAACGGATAAAGTTGTGAGCATGGGATGAGAGATTGTCGAGGCCCCGTTTGGTTTGTATTCATTTAATCTCTCATAGTGAAGTTTGAGGTTTGTAGCTTACAATGTGCATGCGTGTGTGCTTGCGTTCCTATTGTGTAGTGCCACAGTCCGACACACCACGGCATGTCAGCTAAGCGTGACGAAGCGTGATAGACATTCACCAACTTCCAGCTATGGCTACCACTATCGTATAGCTGTTGTCAATGGAACAATCCCTGACCACACCTACCGACTCGGTGTCATAATCTAACTGTCTATTTACCTACGTACCTACCTACCTCACTGTCTGAACGCATGACAATCATTTTCGATCTGCCAATGTCGGACCACTTGTTCGACTGGCTAAGGCTTCTTAATCCCCTCTTTCTCTCTCTCGCGGCGATCCCGACTAGACCTAATCATGTGTATTTGTGTGCGATCCCCTCTCCTCCGGCCACACACACACACACACACCGTACAAGGGTATCGTTCGGTTATTGATTTTCGTTTCTTTTTTCATCCAAACTCGAAGTCATTCACGGGAGGAATTCAGTTAGACACATGTGAACATCTTAATCACTTGTGAATAAATTCCATCTCAATGAAACCCTGAACGTGTCATGTAAAGTGACTCTCCCGACCACATAGAAACGATACGAATAGAAGTTTTACGGTTGAGTACTGTCGGAGATAGAATTAACTTGTCTACCCCATTGCAGGCGGTGATGAACCGGTGGTAACACGTCACCAAATTATCACCCCGGGGATG